ACCTATTTTTAGGTCTGGTGTCTGGACCTAATAATTTTTCGTGATTGTGGTTGGTGGCGATTGAAGGTGATTGGTAAATTTTTGAAATTTGGTGGAAAATGGCCGAGTTTATAATTTATAATATATAAATGAACTTTGAAATGTCTTTAGAATTTGTCAAAATTTTATTATGTATTTTTTATTAAATCAAATACTAACATTTTTTGTACTACTATATTTTAAATATATATCTAATAATTTTTCGTGATTGTGGTTGGTGGCGATTGAAGGTGATTGGTAAATTTTTGAAATTTGGTCGAAAATGACCGAGTTTACAATTTATAATATATAAATGAACTTTGAAATGTCTTTAGAATTTGTCAAAGTTTTATTATGTATTTTTTATTAAATCAAATACTAACATTTTTTGTACTACTATATTTTAAATATATTATATTTATTTTTTTATCAAATTAAATAACTCTGGAATGAATGTGGAAAATATTATGATGAATGATTTATTTATTCATGAAATTCAGATTTATGATTGTTGTTGCGTCCTGGAGTATTCGCGGCGGTAGAGAAAAATTGTAATATCTGATTTATTGATTCAGTAAGTTTTATATCATAGTTACATGCTCATGAGGTTGCATTTAATCCCCATCTGGCTCTTGGTAAGTGAGTTTTGCGGTTGTAATGATGTTTTGACTGACTTAATTGCACTAATGAGCCCAATAATATTGAGTGAAATGCTTCAACTCAACTCAACTCAACTTGAAAAGTTCGGATTGACCCGTTTAATAATCGGGTTAGATTTGGTTTAGGTTTTTACACCTGTTTATTAAGTGGGTTAGATTTGAATTGACCCACGAACTCGCTTTTGACTTGAAAAATTTTCTTAGATTTTTATACTCATATGTGTAATCTTCTTATTTTTTAATGTAGGGCCAATTTTGAGTTGGATATGAACCTGACCCATCAACCCATTTTTTACTCAGCCTATCCCAAAGGGCATTTTATTTGGTCCGGTCACAGGACGTAGCTCTACGTTCGGCCGCCAGTAAAATCGCGCCACTCGTTCTCACTATTTACCGCGCGCCCCGGCAACCCGACCCGGAACGGACACAGAATGGCTCGGTATTTCTTGATTTTGCTAGGTATTGCTCGATATCGCTCGGTATTGCTAGGTATTGGTCGACTTTGCTCGACAATAACCAATACCGAGCAATACCGAGCAAATACCGGGCAATACCGAGTTGTACCGAGTTTTTATAGAAAAACTCGGTACAACTCGGTATTGCTCAGTATTGGTCTTCACATAGCGGTATTTCTCGTTATTGCCAAGCAATACCGAGCAATACCGAGCAAATACCGAGTAATACCTCGCAATACGCGAACATAGCATTCCCGGGTTCTAGTCCGGGTCAAGTCGTCGGGCCGCGCGGTAAAGAGTAAGAGCACGTAGCGAGATGTTATTGGTGGCCGAACGTAGCTCTACGTCCGATTAGAGGACGTAATAATTGTTCATCCCAAAGGATCTTAAATCTAACTCAATTATTTAAAAAAAATCATAAAAACACATTTTTTATTTAAATCATCAAATCCGACAGCAAAAGCAATTTTGTATGCCATTTAAGAAATCATAAAATTTTATTAAATGATTATGAAATCAAAGCCAACATTTTAACTACTTTTTATAGGATTAATGATGAGCTTAATGCTAAAACCCCTTCAAACAAGTCAATTAAAAAGTAATTTGATTTCTATTTTAATAAAGCTAAATATTAACTTGTTCTACTATATTATTGTTCTTATAAAATTGATGCTTCAATAATACTTTTTTTAATGTGGGTTTTTGTCAATATTAATTTTGTCAAATCTATCCAGAAAATTTAATTTTAATTAATTTGTGGCCGATTTGGAGAAAATATGGCCTACTTTGTTGGACCGATTATGTTGGGTGATCTTGTAATTGAAACTAATTATTTTTTAATCAAAACTTAATTGATTCGATGCACATTCAAAAAAAATTTTTATTGTTGTAATTATAAATAATAAAATTTGACATAAAAAGTATATATAGATAAATTAAGTCATATACATTTTTCTTTGTTTTAAAATATATTGCTTAAATAACTTAATAGCTACTTAACTTTAATTTTATTTTATTTTTTATTTTCATTTTGCTCTACTATTCTATGAATTTTTTTATAATATTATTTTATTTATATTTTAATAAAATAATTAATTTTCTAATATCTTGTGATTATTTTACTAGCAATTAAATAGATTTATTTTATTATTATTATTATTATTATTATTATTATTATTATTATATATCTAGTGTATGTCAGTATCTTATATTTGTAATAGTGTATGTTTAGAATCCATATCAGTGCTTCATACTCTCTGTAGATATTTTCAATATAACTTAAAGGTGGCTTTCATTATTCATGCTCTAAATTTATGTAAATCACATTATTGTTTTCTCATTTGTATTTTTATTTATAAGTAATAAAACAACCTATAAATGAGATCCTTATATTTAAAAATTTATTCAGTATGGGCTTGCATAAGTCTTTAAGACCCTAATGAGAGGGCAATTGTAAACAATATGCATTTTGTTTGATTTTGTTTGTGTTTTGTAGAGACCCAGTTTCTCATGCAGCCAGTTCACTATAGTTTTATTTGGGATAACTTTCTTATTATTTTTTAAAGCAACCTTCTAGTACAATTTTTTTTTAAATTAGAAATTTCTATGCTAAAAATTTGCTTTAGAAAGCAATAAAAAAGTTGTCTCAAATGAAACTTATAGCTATATTCATGTGGTGAGAATCTATTTTCTCAAGCTTAGCCCAAACAAGATTTCCCACCTCAAACTCCAAGTGATGCCACTAATTCATCTTATGGTCATGGGTTGAGATTTCATGACTTCAAATTATCACCAACAAGGCAACAAAACAAATTGCCTAAAGCTCTAGAAACCAAGTTGAAGTATGTCTGTCATTATGTGGATGATATGCTGAAATAAAGTTTTTTTTTTTGGGACATTTAGGCCATTTAAGGCAAACTCACACACACAACGCATACACATAAACTCGAACATTGGACCTCTTAGTTGGAATCCTAAGCTCTCAACCAATAGGCCAAGAAGAGTTGTGTACTGAAATAAAATTCAACATA